GTAATGTTCTTTGTTAACTGATTTGGACATAGGGAATTGCATTTTGAGATACCCATTTCTTTAAGAACAAAGAAATTTCATCAGTAGATCCCATTTGGTTTTAACTATTAGAATTGCAAAAAACATGTAGACTTCCAAAAACAAGGAAGGCTTTCTGTAAAAGATGAAGTTCATCAGTATTTATTGCTAGCTGCTTATATTACTCCAAAGTTTAACAGGGAAAGCAAAAGCTGTGCATGTAAGATTTTGAGATTTTTGAGAACTGGTAGTGTAACAACATGTCTTTAGAACAGTCTTTTTCTGTTATTTTGGGGCTGGAGTACTTGTCAGTCATTATTGGTCATTTCAGCATCTCTGTGTATTCAGTTGATCGTAACAGGCAAGCTTTCAAAAAGAATGGGAGATAGTCATGTCTCATTTGCTGCCAATACCTAAAAATTTCTGCAAGAGCACCATGAGTATTTTGATATTCCAATATTAATTCCTATCCCTTTTGAAGGTTGAATACCCTTCAGCTGAAAAGTTTCAGTTGTTGCCTGAAGTTTATTAAGTAATCTATAAAACCATGAAAACCATTATCTCACTGTCTGAACTACTAAATTTTTAGTTGAATAAAAAAAATCTGTGTTTTCTGAGAGACATTTTTTGCTTTTAAGTGTACCTCTGCTTTGACTAAGAACTTTTATTGTCATTTTCTGTCTCATTTTTTTATAGAGTCGAAGCATAATATTGTGCATATTATGTACACTGTGCAATATTATGCAAATGTTTTAATTTCTTTGCCTTGAACGAAGTTTTTAAAAACATAGATTACATCTTTTCCCCTTAAGAGGTCATGATGATGAGTCTATCTGAGAAATAAAGTCTGCATGATGTCTGTTACCAGATACATTATCCTTAGTTTTTAATTGAAGAGAATAAGGGTCAATCATATTCAGTAGTACTAAAATATAATCAGCAATGAATAAGAGTATGTAGCTATGTTCTGTAATCTGCCCAGACGTAGCATTTAATATGTGCACCAATCCTATGAGCTTCGCACAAGGTTCATGCCTGCATATAACTAAATAAACAGCTCGCTTAATGCCATCAAAACCTAGTTTGATGCATTGAAGCAAAGAAAATGCCATCAAATTAATAAAAAGTGCAGATGAAGACACAGAATGAGAAAGGCAGAGAAGGGAAGTGGTGGGGAGGAAGAACCACTACCACGGCTTATCTGCTGGAGACCTCCCAGAGCACTCCACTGTGCTCATCACCTCACCCTCTCACCTTGCCCTGCATCTGCCTACACACAATGTGCATCCCTTCCTGTTAGAAGGGAGATGAAAAGGTCATGAACAGGTACATGTACAAAAGGAAGAGATAGAGTGCTACACTAGGATTGTGATGCATTGACATATATGGTGGCTTGTAGAGAAAGTAAAGTTTGTGTTGGCTGGGGGAAAAGTTGGAGCAGTTTTAATTAATTAGTTTTCATGTGGCAAGTATGATACCTGTGTGTAATATTAACTGTTTTCAGTGAGATGTTTCTTATTAATAGATGTTTCTATTTTACTTCTGTTCTACTCTCCAAGTAAGTCACACAGTTTGTGCTAAATTGCTTAAACTGTCCAAATGTAAAACAGAAAAAGATGAATAAGAAAGTAATTGCAACCACAGAGGGATCCATTCACTTTCTTAACCATCACTAGTTGAGAAGCTTAGTTCATATATGCAGGTACTAAACAACAGATATATTCAGTCTTCAGTATAAGATCTGAATAGTATGCATGACATTGTAAATAATGCCCAAGGCCATGTACAATAATGATGAATGAGAAGTAAGAATTGTTCCAATTTATGTTCTAATTCCTACCTTATAAATGCTTGAAGTCCAAATTAAAAATCTTCCTTTAGTATGTATGTAGGATTCCTAAAACAATATATAGAGACCAATGGGAAGAGGTCTGCTATATCAGGCATGGGATCTGCCTGGAGCACAGCACTCCAGCTTTTCTGGTCTTCTGCACAGTTCTGCACAGTTGCTTTCAGAGACCACATATATTCAGATACAGTTTAAAGGTTTAATAGCCTATCCCACCGCTCAGCTCAGCTCCTCTGCTCTTTTGCTTCCTGGGACAATGCTAGGTCTTGATATCATGTGCTGCCACACCTCAATTTTCTGGTTTACCTGCCTCTTCTAATCTACTCCATTTAACCTCTGTCTCTATAACAGTGTCAAATCATTCCAGCTTTACCCACTCAGTACAATAGGACACTTTAGTAGGGATACAATGAATCCTTTCTTGTTTATCTGTTGCCTTAGGCCTCTCTGAAGTTCCTGAGTATGATTTATTGTTCCCTTCTGCCTTTTCAGCCAAACAGATGCTTGGGTTACCTTGTGTGTTTCATGGCACAGTGAAGTAAAATAGATGATAGACTGAAAATGCACACTGCATATATCTGTATCTGTAGGCTTGGTATCTTATGCATGAATTTGTAACTTCTCTTACGAATATAAAACTACTATACCATAGAAACAGAGCATTGCATTTATGTATTTATTTAATTTAGAGTTGGATTTGAAGGGGCAGTTCCTTCTAAGAATAGGCACATGATTTCAGAACAAAGCACTGTCGTTGCCTTCTGGGAATCCTGGTCCCACCACTCATTGTTATGTCTCATCAAATAAACCATCTTTTATTTGTTATCTCTGTGCTGTTGTGTCAGGACTACTCAACTAAACCATGGCCAGCCAAGCAAGCGCTGGTTGTGTGGTATTGTGCAACACTGCAGGCATCATCTATTTAGCAGAATATACATATGCCATGACGGTGCTAAATCAGATGCTGTTCTTCATGCCAGTGCCTGAGATTTGTGTGACAAAACTTCTCTAAGGGTGGAAATAAGGGAGATGTCAAAGACAATGAAATCCACTGAATACACAAGGAACTACCTGCCTATTAAAGAACAAAGCATGTAGCCATTGTATTGGCAAATTTTATTGCAAGACCTTCATATGGCTTGATTAAAAATGGATGTTAATGTGAAAATTTCTATTTCTTTTCAGTGTTACTTACTACTTACTTTGCATCATATAGGTAGAAACATAAAGCTTCTATTGAAAACAAAAATTCAGACCTTTGCAATAGAATGGTCAAATCCTAAATTGTATTAAAAACAGCTTTACATAGAAAAGCTTGGGAAAAGATTATGTTAACTATCAGAGAAAAACAAAAAAAGGAAAAAAAGAAGAAAAAATCCTGAGAGAAACTACACGTCTAAAGTCTATACCCTCTACTTTAGCAGCCCAAGGTGGTCACTACCGCAAGAGATGCATACAAGAGAGTGTGTAAAAGAGCAGGTAGGATAAGGATTACTGAGAAATGTCAATTCATAAACCTGCAGCCCCAAAAGCAAACAAGAAGGTGAGCACATTGATTGGAGTGGGAACTCCCTGTCTGTGTAGTCAGACACAATTCAGCCCTGGATGAGGCTGTTGCAGTTCAGCTCATGAGGCTGTTCACTCTGACAACCAAATGTCCCTGCTTCCATGAACAGAGAGCTGTGTTGTGTAAGTGAGATAAATTTGTCTCTTTGGATGGCTGAACAACCCTTCATCAAACCCATAAGGCCTTCATGATACTCTTTGGCTATAAAAATTTGATTGGCAGATGAGAGATCATGGAATGGGAAGAAACTGATGATCATACCACTTTACTACTCTTAGTAGTTCTGCAGTTGTGTGATGGAAATATAATGACAAAAATGTAAAAAATCATAAACTTAAGTCCTTCAATTATCTGATATTTTAAGCTAAAAGTTATATTTCAAATTACTTAACAACTGTATATCCCTAAAGTGCAGGGGACATTTCACAAAACTTTTTATTGTCTAGAGATAGATTGTTGTCTGTCTGTTTAAATTTGTCAAGAAAGTAATCAAAAGCTTTAAAAAAATAATAATTTCTTTTGAGGGCATTCCACATCTCTCAGGCAGAGGAGTACTTTATAGTTTTCATTGACAGCATGGGATTTATTCTAAGGAGAAGTCTGGACTATTTGTGCTTTGCTGGATCACAGATACTTAGCCTTGGGTCTAGTTTGGTAAAAAAGGAAATGCTGTCTTGATAGTAGGATTTGTATTCTGTTTATCACAACTTTGTTATGCACAATTTACATTTGTAGATAGACATAAAAAAGTGTAGGGAAATAATAGTTTCAAAAGAATCTGTTAAAATTTATCTGCTTCAAATGGAATCTAAGTTGTGACTCTGACTTCAACAAGGGAGGCACCTCGACTTTTGTCAAGGAAGAGTGATGGTAGTTTTTCACAGGACACTGGAAGTCTGGCTCCTTTGGTTTATTGATTTGAATGCAGCTTTTGCATGCTCAGTTTAAGCTGGCATTTTAACAATGTACATTTCTAAATTACTGCTGGTGGGATCTCGGTGAGCACGTATTCACACTGTTGAACTCCAAGACTATTCGTGATCAGCAAGAATTTATCTGTAGAAACTTTGTGGCATCCTGGGTTCTTGGTCTGCCAAGAACATCAGGAGTACTTTTATTCTGTGGCAAAAAAGAAGTGATATTTAACACCTTATGGTGACCGCAGAGTATCGGGACTCACATTTGAGTGGTGCAGAGAGGTGAGACGTGTTTTAGCCCGCGGTGCTGTAAACAGTCAAAGTGCAAAGGCAAGAGGGCAACATCCTACCCTTGTACCTCCATGGGAAACGGGATCGGCATCTCCCGGCTGCCGGGTCGGGACCGCCCTGCTCTGTCCGGGACGGAGTTCCGCAGGCCTCTGCGGCACCGCCGGGCACCTGTGCCGGCCGAGAGCCGCCACCTGCGTTCCGCTTCCCGCCTCCCGGCCGCGCCCGGCCCCGCGGGGCGCCGGGGCGGAGCAGGACCTGTCCCGCCCCATTGGGCCGCAGGTCGGGTCGCCGCCGTCGCCCACCCTGACCTGTCCAGTCCCGGCCGCGGTCGCAGGATCCGCGCCCCCGGCGCCGGCCGATGGATCCCGAGGCGGCGGGGGACGAGCTGTCCCGCTTGCGCTCCCTGTTCCTGGCGTGCGACGCCAACGGCTCGGGCCGCATCGAGCGGGAGGACTTCGCGGCACTGTGCGCCGAGCTGCGGGTGCGGCCGGCCGAGGCCGAGGCCATCTTCCAGCGCCTCGACAGCGACCGCGACGGGGCCATCACCTTCCCGGAGTTCGCCCGTGGCTTCCGCGGAGCCACGCGGCCGCAGCCCGGCGGCGGCGAGCCTGGGGGCGAGGAGGGCGACGGCGAGGAGGCGGCCGCGTGGGTCGCCGCGGGGCTGGAGCAGCCCTGGAAGGACTTCGAGGTGCGGCTCGGGGACGAGGCGAGGTACATCCCCAGGTAAGGTCCGGGCCCGCCCGCTCCGTGCCACCCCCGATCCCGGCGGGGGGCGCGGATCCGCCTCCCGCGGCTGGGGGCTGGGGCTGGCGGCGGCACAGCGGCCCCGCGGGGAAGAAATGGCCCTCCTGGCGATCCTGCCGCCGGTGCTGATGCAATCCCAGCTAGGAAACGGCCGTGTAGCCTGGCCCCTGCGCCTGCAGGTGTGTAGAGCCCTCCTCACATCTGCTTCCCGACTTGGGTGGTTTCCAGCACTGTTTTTCCAGCGTGCATCTGCTCTCTTGCTTACTCTCCGCTGCGCTGCCAGCGACCCACGTGGGAAACTCAGGCCGGTGGAACGTACGGGATGTAAAGTTCTGCTGGCTGCGCAGGAACTTTCTCCCCCCGCTGTTCCCCGACCGGCCCCAGGACCTTTCTTCCAGCCCAGACAGCCTTTTTCGGGTAAATGCAGACCAGCAACAGTTTTGCCCCATTTCAGACAGATCAGAAACTTCACGTAGGTCTGTCTTAACTTGTTCCGTTCTACACACTTGATTTCTACAGAAGGAGAATAAGAACAAAAGGCTTTTTGCAAGTTTGCAGAAATAGTTAATAACCTCGAGTCAGACAGAAACTCAACAGGAGTGAAAAAAATCTGACTCATGGACAGGGGTAACTTGTGAAAGCATCAGTTTAATTTTTGTGATAGTCTGTGTCAGTATATTGGTTATTATATATTGCAGCAGCAGTTTGAGTATTGTCTAGCTGATTGTCTAAAAGGATAGTAGGAGGGAAAGGTAATAGGTTTCATTGGCTCCAGTCTGCAGATGCATCCCATAATTGTGCTAAATTCATTATGACTCATTTAATGTAATTTGTATTATGATTGTTTTACAAGAAAACTGCAATTAACTAAATTTTGATAGTTAAATACTATCAGGTTGACCGTAATTTGATGTAAATGTTTCCTATTCATATTCAGCTTTATAAATACATTTTAACATCCTTTGTCGTTTGGTGTATAAATTAGGTGTGTGCCAACATTAGCTGAAGAAGAGTGTGCTCTTTGTTTTCTTGTTATTTCTCTTTCCTGTCCTGAAGTGCAAGAAGTAGGTCTGTCTTACAACTCAGTTTATATCCATTGGCAGGCCACACTTTTTTTTGTTGAAACATACATGTAAAGGGTTTTTTTCATGTGAGTAGCCCTACTGAAATCATTAGGACCACTTACGTGAGTACTGAATATATTAATTTGTTTGAGGAGTCTTAAGCAACAGAATATAACAAAATCATGTGAAGTACAAGCTGGAATTCCAAAAGTTATTTAACTTTTTATTTAAACTATTTAGTTTATTTTAATTGTTTGTCACTTAAGGGTTTTTTTTTAATTTTTAAAGGAAAAAGCCTAGTTTTCATTGAAAACTAGACCTAGCTCAGAACACAACTGCATCTCCAATGATATAAGGCAGTTGGTGTTCTTAATTTGTGCTTTGCTATTCTTCGTATGTTTGTTGTAATGTTGGTGGTGAAAACTGTGAGGAAAGTAATTATGAAGAAGAAACTTCTTAAACCCAGATGAGTGCAGTTAGTTGTCCGTATTTTTTTACCTCAATCAGATGGTTTTTATATTGATCATGTTGGGTTTAAGTCCTTCAAAATACTCTGCCTTCTGGCCCCCGACTAAGGAGACCATGGCACATCTGCTTTGATGCTGTTACAGTTTATATAAAGAGAAACAAGGCATAGTAGATGGAAGTAGTGAGATAAAACCAGGGTTGGTGTCCGGAGAAACACAGTAAACATCTGTGGTCTTTGTCACTCCTCAGCTTGATTGAATACCCATAGAAATCAATGGGAAATTTTTCAGCTACACACAGGGTTCTGTCTCTGTTTCACCAACTGGTTCAGCCTCACTTTCTGCTACTGAACTTTCAAAAACCGTAAATAAGCCTCCATAATGAGATGTGAAATCCAGTAACAGATCCAGTCTTCAGTGTAGTAGCAGACATTTGATGCAACATTATTTACTGCCAGGTACTTACTGCCTTGTGCAAGGTACTAAAATAAGCGTACATTACAATAAGCATATTTTGAATTTAATTACTTCCTTAAAAATGTTATGGGATGGATCATACCTCTCTGCGGTTTGGTGTATCAGTTGCACAGTTCTGTTGACCTAATGTGTGAAGTCAGATTTTAGTGGAATTGGGTTTTTTTTGGGGGCATTCATTTAATTTAAAAATGCAGGTAACTTTCTGTATGGTTACATTTAATCTGGACCATGAGTAATTAAACATAAAAGAATGCAAGGCCTTTGGCATATATGTAGTGAATTGCCACTGGAGATCTGTTTTATTGGGAACTCAGCCATTTTCATTAGTTTATTCCTCAAAGAAGTATTTGCAGTGGTACAGGAGTAGACAAAAAAAGTTCAGAAATGTACCTACTTGGCGCTCCAGGCAGTGAATGCTCCAGTGAATTGCCCATACTGGAAGGGTTTAGTCCTTGACTGTGTTACTGGGTGTTGCATTCTTTTTGTGGCCAATCTCAGATCTAATTGAATTTCAGTAGTAAGATTGAAAGGTTCCCTTCACACTCCTAATAGGCATGCTCCTGTAAGCATGTGGGAAAGTCTTCTGATGGCTATCCTTTTCCATTCCTCAGCTTGAGGAAAGAATGATCCAACATCCACTGACACTTCTGGATAAAACCTGTACAATGAATGCCATGACATGTATTTTTGTCTATAAATTACAGTCAAAAAACTTCTGGAAAACAGATTTTTAAATTTAATATCAGAGACCTTCAATCAGAAAGAACAAAGATTTGGGACTGTCAACAAAGACTTTAAACCTTCTGAAGCAATTTTTTTGAGATATTTGGCAAATTGGGTAATTTTATTGGAAAATGAACTAAATTACTTTAATCATGAGGGAGTGAATGAATCTGGAGCAGAAAGTTTTTATCCCTGTCTTGAGTTAAATTCTGCCTCTGAAAGTCCTCATACATTATTGCTTTGCTTTTGGTCTTGGGGTCTGTTTTATTTATATGTCTTGTAATTTTGGCCAAGCTGACTGTTCATCAGGCTCTGATTTCAGTGCTGCCAGACTGTGAGATTTTATGCATCATACAATTCCAATATACTTAATGTGATTATGATAACAGTGTGCCCCAAAGTCATGTCATCTGAAGCTGTATAGAAAATGTGGATCTGGGGGATGTGATAAAATGAGAAAAGCATGCTGTTCTTAACATGAGCTGCTTAAACTGTGAAGACAGGTGATGCTCATGGGATAGACTTAAGTACTTCAGCAAAGAATAGGAACTCTGCTGCATAAAAAAACCCATCCAAAAACCTGTCATGCTCTTGCTGTCATCAACCAGGATGGACTTTTGCCAAAGTCAATATAGAGCACAGCCTTAACTCTTGTCAGCAATTTGTGTTTACTTCCAAAAGATGACGAGCCATGATATCAGAACTGGAGAGGTTTCCTTGGAAATTAAAGCATGTTCCCTGGAGAGGGAATAAAGGCAAATACTGAGTCCTCCCTTGTCACAGTGCTGAAGAAGTGATCTCTGCTGTAAGAATGTTGTCCTGTCTTTTAATACATCTCGCGATAGGGGTTTGACAGATATGTTCTGCTGAAAATGTGGTGGAAGCCTTTCTGTGAGCCAGAATACTTTCTGAGCTAACGTAAGTTTTACTGCTTTTCTGGTTTTTACTTTAATCAGATCAACACCTGTGCTAACTAACTCAAGCACTGTAGCATTCATTTTCCTTGTATTTTAACGACATATGACCATTTGCCATAACAGTGTCCTTTGAGGCATTCTCCTTTTCCACAGACTTCATCCTTCCCTGCCTGTCCCACAGTCTTTTCCACTCCTGCTCCACTGGCTCTAAATCACCCCTCTGTTTTTAGAAGGGAACACCATTTGTGCCTTGGAAACATTAAAAATCCTTTCTCTGGGAATCAGACCTTGGCTGAGCTCTCATCTGGGGGTTGCAGTTTCATTTGTCTTCTTTTAATGCAGCCTATTTTTGAAGGGGCAGATATGGAAAAAGAAAAGGCAGTGTTAAAAAAACCCATAGCGCTTCAAGGTGACAAATATCTTGAATTTTACACCATGTTAAAATTTTGTGTAATCTGTTTTTCCTCAAGGCAAACAATCCAGAAGATGTTGGGTACTCAGCTGTGACAAAATTATATTCTTTCCATTCTGTAACGGATTTGGTTGTTCTTTTGTGGTTGCTGATGCAGAGTGGTATATGCAATGTGTCTGCTTTTCAGAAAAAGGTACTGCTTTATCTCTTGGTGGCACACACAGGCAATTGGTCTCCAGTGTAAGGACAGTCATCAGATGCATAATGCTTGATCTTTCTTTTCCACCAACCACCCTGCTCAGACATTACTGGCTCAGATCACCTTATACTTTACCTCTCCGTGTCCATACCACAACAGAGCTGCTACAAGTAATAAGAGAAATTTTACAAGCTGACCTACACAAGGAAGAGGTCATTAGAATAGTGTTCTAAAACCAAATACTGCCCTTAGGGTCAGACTAAGGGGGGCCCATGTAACACGGCATACTCTGCTAAATACACAGGGGGCACATGTCTGATATCAAGCAACTGTAGAGTTGTTACTTGTTGAAAAATTCCATCAGCGCCCTCTGAGCTGCATTTGGAGTGTGGATCTTTAGGCAAATGGTCACTGTATGATAAGTAAACGAAAAATAATCCTATGAATTGATAAGGATTCATATAACCATGTGGGTTAAATGAAATTATGACACTTAATATAATCTAAATATCTGGTATCTCTTAAGACCAGTACTGTGGGGGTTTTGATGTATTTTTTTTTTCCCCTTTCTCTTGCTCCTCCTGTATTCTACCATCCTTCTTTAAATCTACCATATTACAAATTACTTTATAATCAGAGCAGTTTTATTTTCTTTATGTAATTCTCTCAGGAACTCCCTGAAACCATGTAAGTACAGTAACTTTGCTTAGGTTAACTCATGTGAAGTTGGGCAAATATTGACTAATTACACTTGCTAAGTACTAATTTTACAGACAGTTTATTTTATAAAACCTTTGAGATGAAGTACTTCAGTACTGCCAGAGCAGTACTTGGGCAGAATGCTATACTTATTGGGGATACTAGTGTTTTATGTCTGTACTTTGCAGAAGCAGCAGAAAGGCTTGCATGTGTAGTGTAACCATAGTGCCAGATGAACGGAGCAACAGTCTTTCATGTTGTGTATTAAAAAATGCTCTTTCTATGTTTTAGTATTTGTGAATGTCTACAGTTGTGTTAGTGTTGAACTTCAAGAGTTATAGCTAAATACGTTGAAAAGTGATTTTAGGATTTCAAGGAAGACCGGTTTTAAAGGGTGAACTCAACCATTTTAGATTAATTTTCCTGAAACTGAAGTAAGAGCATTCTAATTGCCTTTTTGTCCAACAAAAAGACAGACTGTTAGAGTTCAAGTCAGCTTGGTGAAATCCATTTGTCAAATCTTCTTTGATGAGTAATTTTGAAGAGCTAATGAATTTACGGAAAGAAATAGCACGTGTTTAAGGAGAATTCGGGACAAACAAACAAATTGGGCAATATTAATTGCAGCTAATCTGTCCTGCTGCAGTGGTGTCACTGGTATTCACCAAAGCATGTGAAAACAGAAAAGTGATTGAAAATATCAATTTGAAACAACTAAACATCAAATACTTACTGTATGTTGATATAGGGTATACATGGCTGCATCCTTCTGAAATCTTGCTTGTCTATAAAATGTTTTAACAGTGTGCTTGCTGCTAATTCATCACAGATACTTGGAGTGACTATATCAATAACAGTATTCCCAGTTCATGTAAGTGTATTACTTCTTCCTGAAGCCATAACTGATTAAATAGAGTCCCATCAATTTTCTTGCAGGACTTTGATTTCTCCCGTGGTTGGTTGTTTGTTTTTTGTTTGTTTGGGGTTTTGTTTGTTTGTTTGTTTTGATACAATGAGTCTAGTTTTAATTAAGACATTCTGTAACGGTGCCATAGAATCACTCGCATAAGTGTCACTAAGAGTTTCAGTGATCAGTTGTGACCTATAAAGCCTTTCAGGCCTTTTCCAGGAGCCATCATCGTCAGCATGGTTTTAGTTGTACCGGTCATTGTTTGACTTCTTAAGCCTAAGTACTTCCTAAAGCTGGGTCACTGAGATATTCTGAATCCATCTGGTTGATAGCTGGCCACTTGGATAAAAAGGAATATGAAATATAGAAGTTTTCTTTTTAATCCCGGGGGAAATCTTTCAGTAACTCCTTTGTGCTTCAGACTACTTTGCCTTAAAGCAGATTTAGGTGTAAGGCTGAGCAGCATGGATGTACTGATTACTAGCTTCAATTTGGGAATGTATGTTTGCATATACTTTGAAAAGAATCACTGAATTGTTAGAATTGGAAGGGACCTCTGGAGATCATCTAGTCCAACCCCCTTCCAAAGCAGGCTCATCTACAGAAGGTTACATAGGAACATATCCACATGGATTTTTAACGTCTCCACAGAATGAGACTCCACAAACTCCCTGGGCAGCCTGTTCCAATGCTCTGCCACTCTCAACACAAATAAATCTTTTCTCATGGAGGTGGAAATTTTTGTGTTCTATTTTATGGCTATTACTCCTCATCTTGTCACTGAGCACTGCTGAAAAGAGTCTGGCACCATCCTCTTGACATCTGCCTTTGAGACATTTGTAGGTATTGATAAGATCCCCTCTCAGTCTTCTCTAGACTAAATAGGCCCAACTTTTGCAGTCTCTTGGGGTTATTCCTCCCCAGGTGCAGGACCCTACGTTTGGCTGTTGAACCACTTTAGTTTCTCTCTGCCCAACTCTCCAGCCTCTCAAGGTCCCACTGAATGGCAGCACAGCCTTCAGGTGTATCAACCACTCCCCCCACTTTCATATCAACCACTCCTCCCAGTTTCATATTGTCAGCAAACTTGCTCAGGCTACATTCCATCCATTCATGCAGGTTGCTGATAAACAAGTTGAACAAGGCTCAAAGCAGTACTGATCCTTGGGGAACACCACTGACTGCAGGCCTCCAACTGGATTCTGTTCCTCTGATCACAATCCTCTGAGTTCTACCATTCTTGATCCACCTCACAGTCTATTCATTTAACCCATGTCCTGAGTTTACCTACAAGGATGTTGTAGGAGACAGTGTCAAAAGCCTTGCTGAAGTCAAGGCAGAAAACATCCCCTGCTCTGCTCTTGCTGACCTGTCCTGCCATGCCATCATAGAAGTCTGTAAGATTGGTCAAGCAGGATTTCCTCTTGTTGAATCCATGCTGACTACTTCTTATGACCTTTTCTTCAGCATGGTTGGTGATGACCTCTGGGAGTTTCTGTTACATGACCTTTCCAGGGACTGAGGTGAAGGCTGACTGGCTATAGTTTTCTGGGTCCTCCTTCTGGCCCCTTTTGAAGATGGGAGTAATATTGACTTTTCACCAGTTATCAGGCACCTCTCCTGTTTTCTGTGATTTTTAAAGGGTGATGGAGGCTGGCTTAGCAAAAACACCTGCCGGCTTCATCAGCCCTGGTGGGTGCATCCCATCAGGGCCCATGGATTTACAGTGTTACGTCTACCTAGACCATCTCTAACTCAACCCTCTGTGACCAAGGGGAATTCTTCCTTTCTCCAGCCTTTTCTTACCTCCAAGGTCTGGTATGCCTGTGGACTGGCCTCAGCAGTAAGAACTGAGGAAAATACAGCATTCAGTAATTCTGCCTTCTCTCTGTCTTACTTTACTAGGATGTGCTCATCTGATTCATCAGTGGCCTCAGATTTTCCCTAATTTTCCTTTTCCTGCTGATGTAGGCCTTGGCCTTCCTTATGGCATCCCCTGCATACTCAGACAGTGTTTAGAAGAAGCTGGAAGAGGGAGTGGCTGTGGGTGTGACATTCTTGTTAAGAGAATGAAAGTTGTGGAAGTACATTGCAGTATTCCACTGCAAATGTGTTCTATTCCTGGAACAAAGTATAGTGAGCACAGTCTAATTGTTTCTCTACTCCCATCAGTGTAAGACACTGAACCTTCAATTTTGCTACTCCATTAATAATTTCTATGGTAGGAAGTCTCTGGTACTGTGCATGTTATATAGTTATATATGTTATATATAATTATATAGGTCCTTGAAGATCCAATCCTGTTTCAATGACCTGCGAGACAAGTCATGAAAACGTTTGCTTAATTAACAAATCTTTTATGTTAAGGTCAAGTAAGAAGTAATTTTCCTACTGTTTGCCTCCTTTCTAAGAAACAATGTTACTAGTAAGCATATTTTTTGTGAAACTAAAAGGGAGATAGAAAATTGCAGAACACAGATGTTTGTATCATGTTTACATTTCATATTTCTAAAAATCATGTATGCTGACTAAAACTTTTTTATGTTTTAGATTGTGCTGAATTTGTCTGCCTTGAAAGACTGATAAACTGGCCACCTCACTGTGGCTAGTGCTATTTCTATTTTACATGCAACTCATTTAAAAGAATGTGTGTATATTTACACTCTTTGAACAAGTGACATCCTTCAGTAGCTATTTCTGGATAAGAGCAGTGTCTACTTCTGTCTAAAATTTGAAACTATTCTGGAATAGTTTATTACCTGTTTTGGTGAGCAGTTTACAGCTCTGAAAGATAACTACTGAAGTGCTAGGAAGTTATGAAATGTGTCATGTGTTAGCAATTCTCCTACTATGAATTTTTTTTTTTCAGTAGCTATATGAAAGTAGAGAAGTGGAAACAGTAAACATAACGTAGAAGAATTGAGACATACTGTGCTGAATGTTCAAAGTCCTTATCTACCTTGCTAAATTTTAAAACTAGGCAAAGAGTTTTTCCATCTTGATTTGCAGTAAATTTTTCAAACCTGTAGTAGAACATTGTTCCAAATAAGTGCATTAAAATGGTATCTCTCATTTTCAGGCAAGAGCAGGTCAGTGTTCTGTATCAGAACATACACATAGCGGAACCAAGATTAATCCAGTCATACGAGCATGTAATTAAGAACTTCATCCGGGAGATCAAACTTCAAAGCACAGAGATGGAAACTTTGGCCATAGCGGTAAAAAGGTATAGTGAGTTTTGTTTCTAGTTCAGTTCTGCAATTTCTTTTTTTCTCTATCGTGCTTCATTAGCTTAAACTACTGAGAGTTAATACCAAAATAAGCCAGGCAAAGTATTTCCATAAATCAAGTTCAAAAGTTACTTTATATGTGTGCAGTTGTGCATCAGCACATGTAGCAGCATGCAGAGGGTTCTGTGTTCATACTTTGGTAAGTCCTGGCCCAAATTTTTGTAGACCCCATTGTTATATTGAATGTCTTAAAACGTTTTGACTCCTCCTGATTGGCTGCATCTTTGAGTGTTATTATACATGTCCATTATACTTTCATTTTAGAAACTGTATTTTTGCTTCTTGAGCTTCAAGGAGTGCATTTACCTATTTTAACTACTTGGCATTTCCAGTCTTACGTAATTACTGCCACAACCAAACAGATTAGCTCGGGACAGAGAACCTGTGTGTGTGGGTGATGCACGTTGCTGCAGTTACCCTTCTGAAATCTCTTCATGGGATAATCTGAGGGGCCTTTTATCTCTGTAACTTAATTTTAAAAATGCAGATATGATGTATTTCATGCTAATCATCATCTGTCAGCTACTATTTAAAATCTAATTTGCCTGTCTCCTCAAAGTAATTTGGGATTCTGGTTCCCAGGCACATCAGCTTCAAGGGGGCAGTGTTAGAGAGTTTCCATATACGGCTGTCTAATTTGTTTCAGTAGAGGTAAGCAGGTGTGTTTCACACAGTGTTTCTGTCAAACCAGAGGGCAATTGCTAAGAGTATATTTTTTTTAAATTTTAGAGCTCAGGAGAAAGCAGCAGTTCAGCTCAGTGAGCTAGAGGAAGAGATGGAACAACGGATACAGGCTGCAGAGCATAAAGTTAAAAAGGAAGTGAGTAATTTATATTTACAGAATTTCATAATTAATAAGCTCTCAGTGGTCTTAAGCAGGATTGATGGCCAGGTGTGGTTTTGGTCCTGATGAGCTAACTCAAAGCTGCTGAGAGCAGGACCTGGATGAAAAGAAGCTATCCATGAGGTAAAAAATGAATGCTCTTAATGCTTTCCCAAAGAGGAACGTCTGCTCCGATGTAAAGAAAACCAAGAAAAAAGTGTCTTTCTCTTTTATGAGAATATGCTGGCTGAGGGGATTTTCTTTCTGAGACCAATACTGCAAGCAAATTGGAGAAAAAGATCTTTCACCATAAAGGAATGGAAACTAATAGGTGAAATTATGTAGAATTTAGTGCTTAGATCATTTAGTCCTAATTTATGTATCTTCCTGGAGCAATGATCTTGCTTTCCTCCATTCTCATCCTCCAACTATGTTTTATAGAGTTATGGACTTAAGAGAGGGTAATTGTGATAACAGTGTGTGAGGGCCTGCCACCTCCCAAAATTGATGGGAAAATCTGTTTTGATGTGCTTGAGTTTTAGCTGCTGTTTCAAAGAACTGGCAGTCTTGATGGAAAAGTACAAAAATCCTCTTGTCCTTACCCACTGAAAGATGGATTAGAATCACATGTGACTGTGTTCAAAGCAGCAAAACCAGTTGTCTGCTCCGTTTTGAACTGTTACTAAATTAATATAAGATGAACCTAACTTTACAATATGCATAACAGTTTGTGAGAATGTTTTAATGTGGACATAAGATATGCATTAATTAAAACATATACCATGGGCATAATTATTGCTCAGTAGGACACACAATATACTGAATGTCTGTATAGGTTTGCTATGGGTTCTTTCACAGAGCATTTTCAGAATCAGAAGGAACAAAGTGCTTTCTGCCAACCTGTTGATTTTAAGTAGTTCACAGTAATTGATCTGTGAAGGTAAATGGTATTCTGATAGATTTGCTTCAAATGGCATATTCTTTTATACGAGAGAAAGCACTCATACCAAACCATAAAAGTCAATTGTTTTCCTAGAAACAAAATATAGTGGCATAAAAATGTTAATAAAGGTATCACCACTACAAAAAAAGTGTGTTGTAATATGTTTAACTACTGGTAATGCATCTCCTAGTAGAGATAAATGTTCATTTCCAGAGAGACTAAGCAGTTATTTTTGGAAAACAAATACATTTTCTCTGGAAAATTGCTATTTCTCAAAAACCAATAAATTGCTGAAAAAAACCCTTAAGACTTTTTCATTGCTGTGAAAAGATGACTAGGATGTGTGCATTTTCTAACTCTGAGAACATCTACAGTTATGTACTTGCATTAAGCAAAAGTACATCTTCTACGTTACCCACTTCTAGTCTGTATTCTCATTCTAAAAAGTCCTCGAATTGACACCAAGTTCACTGTTCACATCTACCTCTAGGTATGAAAGATGACCTGTTGTTTCTCACACTTTTTTTTTTATTTTCACTCCTCGGTGTTCCCTTGTAGCTCCATATACTCCACCTAGTAAAACGCCCTGAGAGTAAATGTTAAGTTATTTGCTTTGTGGGATTGTGCTAAGCCATTAATCTTAATGCCTGTAATCAAGGCTATTGTTTGTCAGAGTGATCTCACTCATGCTACCAGAACACCTGCCTCTGCAGAACCTATCCTGTATTTTGTTGCTTCAAGGGAAACAAATATTTACCAAACAATACTGAGAAGTCCTATAGAGTTGCCAACAAGAGGGGAATCCAGCTTAAACGGATTACTTTGATTACTGTTTTAACACATGGATTTCAGCATCACCTACAGGAAAGCACTGAATTCTGAGCAAAGTCCATGTCTGTCTTTTCCATGTGAAAACTCAACCTGTCTCTTTGGCACCACTAGTCACTGCTGCATTCTGGTTTCTTGTGTTGTGAAACTGCACTGAAGTCCCTGGGGAGTGACTGAAGTGAGTTAAACACATATTCATTTATAGCATGCCACACATACCATTCTTTTCATTGTGGCTGATGTAGCCTCTCTTCAAAATCTCTCTGTTCTGATTAAAATAAAACTCAGAATAGTGTACTTGGTTTGATATTCAGACTTTCTGATATATTGTATTAAGATACTGATATTCAGGTTGAGCACCATATGAAACTAAAGATACTGTTATCTGCTTACCTTTTACTGACATGGCCCTGTAACATCCCAACACTTGGGAGCAAAAAAATTTAAGAGAAAAGCCCAAATAAAAAACTAAGTGATGGTGGCATGGTAGTATTATTACTAGCACATTGTATGCTGAAGGAGCCCCTGGTGGTCTAGGGGGTAAAGGCGCCGCGCTATCACCGCGGAGACCCGGGTTCGATTCCCGGTCAGGGCCACTCCCGGGCAGGTGGAGCTCGTTAGCCCTTAAAGGCAACCCACCTACGTCCTAAGGACCTCGCTGCCACCGTCCAAGCTCGCTTGGCCCCGGCAGATGAACCTTAGGATTAAAGGGTGGGCTCAGTTCCGCGCACACTGTGTCTCACCTAAAAAATCCAATGCGCAGGCTGGAAGGTGTAAAGACCTTCCCCAGATCTTCGCTCGCGAAGACTGGCCATTATTTATTTATTATTATTATTATTGTATGCTGAGCAATAGAAGACTGCTTTGAGAAAAGAACATAATGACCCAATTTGTGCATGGGTGTGTATGTATTCATCTGTATATGCACTATACACTTATATGTATGTACAAATAAAATTTGATCACTTTTTCAGGTTGTTTTTTATTTATTCTTTTCTAAGACATTGGGAACATTAAGCACAAGAGACATGAGTAACACTGAATTGACTCATATCTTAGCTTCCACCTTACCACTGCAATTACAGAAGCAAAATCTGTGGATCCTAAGGAAGGGACAGGTTGACACAATGGAAAGACAAAATTGGACACATTAATTTAAGGGTGGTTTGCAAAATGAATGAAGTTTTTAATAAACCTTTGAAACCTATCTCAACTTCAAATGAAATTGAAAATATTGCAGGAGAAGCGAAAAGCTGAAGAAGCACTAAATGAGCTGAAGCGCCAGTATGATACTGAAGTTGGGGATCTTCAGGTGACAATAAAAAAGCTTAAAAAGGTGAGTGAGTTGAAGTCTGGTGAGATTTTGAAGTGTTTTAAAAGATTTTGACCTTGAAGTACTTCCCTCAAGATGGATAATCATAATTATAAGTTTTTAACCTAATGTATATTAGGGAATGGCAACTGCAGATTATTTTCAGTAATTTGTTGAAATACTTAGGAAAGGGAGTAACTGTTATCCAAATTCTGTTGTTGAAAAATTTTCTAGGTCCATCAAGTGTCCATCAAGTTTTTAACTTTGCAGTTACCTGATCTTGTATTTGGTACATTAGAAATAATCCAACATATTGCCTCTAAGCATTTACAATTTATAGATTTAAATGAAATTGGCAACCCAAATATAGTAATTTACAGTAAAATAGTACCCCTTAGAACCCAACTCCAATCTGATCTTTTAATTTGATACCTAGTAGTAAGGCAAACTGAAATCTCAGATATGAGATTGCTTTGGGATATTTTGTAATTTGGGCTTAATTTTGACATTAGTTTTTGCTGTAAATTTTAGCAGAATTATAGCAACCAATATGGATATATTTTTTCATTCTTTATATTGAATTGAACTTGAAAGAGCGTTTATAGAAATAGAAATTTCTCATAAGAAACATGAGAGGTTGTAGTACAAATACTACACAGCTGAGGTAGTAATAATTCTTTATAATTTTTTTTTAACTTAGTGGGAATACACCTGTTGGTATCTTCCCAACAGTTGACTTCTGTGTCACTAGTTATGCATATTTTAAAAAGTGGGTGAGCAAAATTCTCATTAAACATTTTTTAATTATTAATTAAAAATTTTTTAGAAAACCAGGGATTATTTGAGTAATGCTGCCTGCCAGCACAGATGGCAAAACTCGTAACTCTTAAAAACTTAAGTAGCTGTAAAACCTCTCAGGGGTTACTTAATGTGATTTCCATTAGTTTTTGTGTGCTTTGAATCAGAACAATCAAATACATTAATTGTTCATTTTTAATCTGTCTAGCTGGAGGAACAATCCAAAAATGTAAATCACAGGGAAGATGTGGGTGAACTGAGAAAAAGAATGCATGATATGTTCCTGGTAAGAGATTATTATCATTAACATTTTAATCTAGCCTCAATTTTAGTCTCTGCAGTGCAGATTTTTGTGGTGGTGTGTTCTTTTTGGTTTTGTTTTTGTTTTTGTTTTTTTTTTTTGGGTTGTTGTTGGTTTTTCCTGGTTTTTTTTTGTGTTTTCATTTGGTTGGTTGGTTTTTGTTTTGGTTTGTTTTTGTTTTGTTGTTTTTTGTGATTTTTTTTTTTACATTTAATAGTGGTAAGCTTCAAAGTAAACTTTTAAAGTAATTGATAAGTCTGTGAGATCCTTTAAGTTGGAAGAGTACCTGTTCTATTTAAATGCATACACATTCTATATATAACATTTAGAAATGGCTTGAGACTATATAGTCCCCTTTTTGTGTAACTGAAATGAAAAATAAAAATTCAAAGGTTTTTGCATGTTAGTTACCGACTTCTCTGTTGATTCGGTGTTCTTTCTTTCCCCCTCTTTGCCAAGATTTTAGTGTGTTTCACTTTGGTGTAATTTTGATGGTGTTTATTTTATCATTTTAATTTATCAACATTTTGTGGAGGTGACTATGACATCTAACATCTAATATCTTTCTTTCTTAAAGGAAAATCAGAAACTTAAGAAAGATCTTTTAGAAGCGCAGACAAATATAGCTTTTCTACAGAGTGAATTAGATAGCTTGAAAAGCGAGTATGCAGATCAGTCTTTGAACACTGAGAGGTAAGTTACTTTTACATGATAATTTTCACTGGGGAAAAAAATCTGCTCTCTAGTGTAGTTGTTATGTATGCAGTTGTTTTTTTCTAAATTTACCATAAAGGGCAAGTACACATTTGACACCATACCATCACTGCTCTTCGCTTTTCTTGTTTCTGAAACAGCAAATTTTGGATATGATGCAAATTCTCATAATTTTGCAAGAACGTCTGTTGATTTTAGTGAGACCTCAGTTAGAAATGAAATAAGAGTGCAGTGTCAGCCAATTTTTTTTTTTTCTCCATGGGATGCACTCAGATTAATATCTGTTTGAATATTAGGGAGAATAGTTTTGGAAGCCTTCCATATCAGTCTCAAGCATTTTTTTGTAAAGTGAATGAGAACTTCTTCTAGTTACTACTTTTTTTTTTTTCAGTCTTTGTTGAGTTACAATGGCAGAGATCAATTAAGTCACCAAGTGATCTTACTTTGCATAAAACTGCTTTCAACATCTGTCAGCATAAATGTAAACTCTACCAAAAGCAGTATTATAAAAATTAAAAATAAAAAAGATATCCTGTAAGGTACAATTTTGTTTAAGCTTGGTGTTTGTTGTTTTGTTTTTTTTTTTCCAGAGACCTAGAAATTATCCGTGAGTATACTGAAGATAGAGATAATCTGGAAAGACAAATTGAAATACTGCAGTAAGTTTTAAGTAATTCAGTTTTTTATTATCAAATTTTGTCCCAACGCATGTGGGGGTAAATATTTTTAATGCAAAAGAGTGCGTTGAGTTTTGGAAAAAAGTACACAGTGAAAATATTAAAATGGCCTCAATTGTCATGGAAGGTATTGTGCTCAGTTGTTGTAGATGTTACTGTGCTAGTAAGACCACTGTGTTACTGAGACACAAACTCCTCATTTATTTTTTTTTTCTTAGCCCAAATAAATTTCTTTATGATAAGCTGAATGAGATTTTAGTCTATCCATACTATCATAAAAATTATTGCCTGGCTCCTTTTTTTTTTATTGCCTTCGCTTCTCCAGTAACTTTCTGTCTTATTTTTGTCTGGAAAGTACTACGTTTGTGGAGTATTATACAAGAGATGCACAAATTTTTGCTTTCAAGGAGGGTCACAATGAATAGATTTTTTTAATATCTTTATTTAATTTCTTATCCTAAAAAAATTATTTCAAGTTGATGAATCACATTTGTCCATACAGTCACCTCAGCAATATTTAGAGGGCAGTCACTTTGTACAGAAATGACTGTACTAGTGTTTTTTTTGTTGTTGTTGGTTGTGGGTTTTTTTGTTTGTTTGTTGTTTTTTGGTGACCATTTCTACAGTTTTTTTCCACTCAGCGAACCAGAGACCATGCTGCAGAAGTGAAAACGGGTCTCCTAAGCTGCTCTGGGGGCTAAACTTCACTGTGGCTTTTCCACATATAATGATCTGTTTGAGTATTTGTCAGCATTTATAGTTTCATGTTATTCTTTAGTGTTTACCAAAAGAAAAAAAAAAGGGTTTTTTGATAAGTCTTATTCAGTATTTCTTTGTGATAAGTTACATAATTTTCAAGTTTTCTCTACACTCCTGCAAGTTAAACTGTGTTTCCTTATTAGATCAGCTAATAGAAAGTTACATGACAGTAATGATGGTTTAAGAAGTGCACTTGAAAACAGTTTCAGCAAGTACAACAGATCATTGGTATGTATTTATGATTTTGTTACATTATACTAGAAGGTGTAAGAATTAACAACCCAAATTTAAATTGATACTTCAGTGGGTGTCAGAAAAATCTGAGTTTTATTCAGTGAACTCACTGTGGGAATACTCTTGTGTAGTTGAATTTTGTTAGATTTTACTAGTGCATTGTGAAATAATGGGGTTTTGTTGGAGCACAACTGCTTTCTGAGATGCTTTGAAAAGTACTGATTTTTTTATTATGCTGTGATCAGATGTATGTAATGATGTGAATAAATTAGTGGTTTTTCTTGCACTAAAGGAATGTGTTTGTATTGAGTTGCCTACCACTGAAAATACACTTTTTCAGAAAACTGCCCTTTCTCAGTAGCAAGGTCTTCTCCTAACCTGAACTTTTTTCCAGGCACCGGGAAAATAAATAGCAGGGACTACTGATAACAGAGACCTTAGTCAAATCCTTTTGGACTATTTCAACTCCATGGGAATCTGTTATAACAGGTGTAACCGGACATCCTCAAAAACAGAGAAAGGAGGGTTTGAAAGTAACAAAAAACCTACTCTACACTGCCATCTTCCAGTTGTGAAACTCTAAAGCTAATGACTGAGCATCATGAGTAAAGCAACTAACTTTTTTATAAGCTTGGGGCCTGAATAATGGGCCCACAAAGACAATACTGGACAGGAAGGAGGAAGATAAGGGTCATTGCCTGTTTCCAGTGTTCCGTGCCAACGACCATGAGTGCTTTTTTTTGCTGATACAAGCTACTAGATACTCACTACAGATGCAACAAGAGATACGATTTCCTTCTGTCATGCCCGGAAACAAAAGGGAGCATATTACAGAGAACACAGAAGAAACTGTTTCCAGTGAATAAATGTTTAGAGGCATGACAGAATGTACAGAATACTCTGTCACCTAGTATCAGTTGAGACCTTTCCTTCACTATCTCTCTCAAGAACTATTAGAGGTAGCTCTACTGAAACTAGCTCAACCAGTGACATTTCCATTTTATTTTTAATTTAGTAGTCAATGTGCCTTGTTCTAAATACTACTTTTCAAGCTTTAGCAATTCAGAATCTTCAGGTGTAGTCAATAAAATAATCTTCTTGGACTTTCCATTGTCTTTTGTGATTGAATGTGTTTAGTAGGTTCAGTATTAAGGCAGCAGTAGGGCCTAAATTTTATATGTAATAGACCTTTTGACACTCATCCCTATATAAAGCATGAGGTTTAATTAAATGTAAGTAGTTAAATACATATTAAAATACACATTTCTCACTTTGATGATGCACATTTTTTTCACAACAGATCTGGATGCTTTCACTCTGTTTATCAAACTTACTATACATTTGTTACGTATCTGTTGCAGCGGTTAGCAAACACCTCACCAGGAAGTACCAATTCTAGAAGCAGTCCTAAATTTAATGGTGGACATTCTCCTTTAAATCCACGGTATGACAGGTAAGCCAGGCTTTTGTTAAGTTAAAAATGACTAGGGTATGACACTTGTCGTAGTAGAACAAATTGTTGTCAAATAACAGAGAGAGTAATTTTGTCTAAATTAGAAGGAATTTGGGACCTTAACATAACACCCAAAGTATACTGAAGTCAATAGGAATCTTTTTAATTCAGAAAGCTCGGGAAAACTCTTCTCAGTGCAAATCATGAATTTATGGAGAGTTCAGACAACCTCTTGTTGGTTTTGGATTGTTTTGATTCTAGTTTGATTCTTGATCTCCCCTCCTTGTCCCCAAGAAGCTACAAAAAACTTCTGAGGACCGCTGTTACCTAGCTTATTCAGTACTTAAGAAATAAAATGCTTTTGGTTGTATGTTCAGCCTGTGTGTCTGGTTTTCCCATGTAGTAATTTTTACAAATGTGGACCTAATTCTTCAAAAGGAAAAACACCCTCATCTCACACTGACATGCCAGAGCAGTGAGTGCGCTCGGCTATTAGTGTGGTAAAAGTCACAGAGAACAGTAAGATATCTGAATGCAAATATCAAATGGTCAGAGGTATTTATTTTTGTGCTTACTGGATACATGTCATTGATCAGACCTTCCTCAGATCATTGCAAAGACACAAGATACTGGGCAATGGAGCCAACCCCAAGTACTATAAACCATGCTACCCTTTACACTTTTTTTAAAAAAACAGATCTGCCAGCAAAAATGTGTGTCCTTACTCAGTTGATAGATTATTTTGTCTTCTTTTTCTTTCAGTGGTACTCTAAACCTTGGAGAGATCTCTGATAGAGTTCTTAGTAGTCTGTATCTTACATTTACGTTTACATTTACAAGAGAAGAGTATCTTGGAAAGGGGTACTGTCTCTATGTGAGATGTGTTTGCTGGCTCTGAAGTTTTGCTTCTTGGAAACTTTACTTCTTCTGCTCTTCTTCCCAGTTCCTCTCTGTTTGGACCCTCTGCAAATTTTGAAAGGCATCCACTACTAAGTTACACATTACATTGAGTAATTTTCTGAAGGAGTGCAATCCTTGCATTTCCAGAAAAGTGAGAAATACAAGCTACTTTAGAAGAAAGCTTATGTAGTAGAAATAAAACTCACTCTTAACAGATGTGACAGAAAGTTTGTTTTTAGTACTTCATCTCCGGACAGCAGATCAGCATTAAGAGCTATTGATTTGCATTGTAACATATTTGAAGCAGTTTGTTTTTTCTTTTTTTTATCTGTAACCCACATCTTGGTCTACCTTGCTTTAAGCATGTATGAAATTCCCAGCATTGAATTCATGGTTCAGTGAGGTTGAAAATTTGCTACTAAAGACCTTTATTTCAGTGAATGCCTGACAAGCTTAACTTTGTTATAGTGTACACTCTTCTTTATTTCAGTGATTTGGTATAGACCTGTAGGTGCATAAATGCAAAGAGCATGTATGCTGTGATAGTCTAAAGCAAAGATCACATTCATTCACATGATTATTCTTTAGCCTTAAGGGATGTAAATTAGATAGTTCTGAATTTTATTGCATGGAACAGTGATGCCCCTGTCACGTGCAGGAATTCGACTCAGTAACTCCTTCATAATTTGGTGTTCTCCCCACTGTACTATGCTGTGCTGTACCATCATGTTGGGAGGTCTCAGTCCCTCTGGGACCAAGGTAATTTTACAAGTATTGATGCTGACCTTGTCTGTTTTAGCAGTTCAGTGCCTCACATCCATTCCCAATGCAGCAAAGCCATACTGTTTCTGTCTTCTCTGCTGTGACTTGAAGACCTTCTTTACCTCACTGTAATTTGTACCTATTCCTGTCTTGCTGCAGAAACACAATAATGATTGTAACCATCATACTTTTTTTTGTGAGATTGATTATTTTAAGATTCACTCTATTAATCTTTCTTTTATGTAGTTTTATTTACATATAAAAAAGCTTTTTGTTCCCTGTAAGCCGTACTGGCATTGCTGATTCCATTAAAGCATTTATATATATTACAGCATCCAAAATGGAAACAAAAAAGCCTTTGAAGGAGGGGTGAGGGAAAAGAAAGGACTTCTGTGTAAAATCTTAGGTTTTACGTAGCTTACCAAATTGTAAGAAAATGTTTTTCACTGACTTCTTCCACCATTACTGATCTCCTGAGCTTGGTTACTCCCTTTTCTGTATTCATAGCTGTTCCTTATTAGCATGTGCCTCTGTGAGCAAATGCAATCGTTTAAATGAGACACAGTGTGTCAAGGTCATTTTATGGCTTAGAATAGGCCAAAAATTAGCTAAACCATTGTCTGTAATTTTCTGCCTTTGATGTCTTCATAGTGTGTAATTTTTCTGAATGTTTTTAAACAGGTTTTTTTAATTAATAAGTAGACATACTGAAACATGGGAAGTCATCATCAACAACATAGATTAAATAATTTAATCTGAGCATCCTAAGAGATAAGATTGACAAGGAAATTCTTTATAAGGGCAAGATAGGCTTGACGTATGTCTTTAATTTAGCATCAGCATTTCTAAGAATCATCTGTTTCAGAATGTCTCAGATTTTGTTGGGAAAAACAATTGTGAAGTAACTTATTCTTTTCTCCTCCAATATTTTCCTATTAGATCATCTCGTTCGTCTTGTGTGGATGAAGATTTTGATTCTTTAGCCCTTTGTGATCCTATGCAAAGGATAAACTGTGAAGTTGACAGCTTACCTGAGAGCTGTTTTGACAGTGGTTTGTCTACCCTGAGGGATTCAAATGAGTATGATTCAGAAGTGGAATACAGGCATCAAAGGATTTTTCAAAGGTCACAGTGTATGCAAGAAGGCTTTGGTGGTGATGCTTCTGATACAGACGTAAGTGCCAGATTTATTCCTTCTCTGAGAAAGACCTTTGATTGGAGACAAAATTAGGTTCCTGTTTTTTAAGATAAAGTGTATCTTTCTCCATGGGGCAGTTAAAATAAGTATTTGAGTTATATGTATTCACATAAGATAAGTAAAATTGTTTTGGAAAATGCAGTATTTAGTTCTCTTTAAAATGTTTGGTTTTACATTTTCTGTTAGATTTCTGAGGTAGTAGCTTTATTTTTGAACTATACATGGTTTTTTAAGGTTGTTAAACAGTTTGGAGAGAGGAGCTCATTTTCTAGTGATAAAAACGCAGACACTGTAGAAGTAAAACAGTTTCCCAGTCACTTCCTCTTGGTATGCTGTGGCAGTGAAGGAAAAAAGCATATATGAGAAAGAAGAATACTGTTGGTGCATATATTCACTTTAATGCCAAGTCTCAGAGAATTTAAAAATGTAAGGTGTTATGCCTATTTTATTGTTAGCAAAATGGAAAGATTTAGTGATGACAACATATCAAGAGTAGTATCAAACACAGTAGAACATGGGGTTTTTTAAGGCAGCTCCTTTGCTGTGTGTTTAGTAGAGACATTTAATCTCTGTTTGTGGAGACTATTCTATGAATAGTGTTGATACAGTGGTGCTGTATTTAGTTTAGCTTGAGTAGTAATATCATAGAGAGTAATGTCTTGGAGGTAAATTCTTAATATTTGTAAAATAGGTATGGAAATAAAGTATTTTTTAATTGTAACTTTTTAAGCTGAAATTTTCATATGGAAATTAATTTGCTCTATCAGAAAGAGTACTGAAAGAATATATACCAAAATGTAAACATGATTAAGGACAGTATGTAGGCTATAGTAAACAGCAAATATGAATAAGAACAGAATAATCACAGTATTTTGATTGGAATTGCACAGCTGTATTTGGTCATTCATATCGGTTTAATCTAAACTGTTAAAACAAATGTTTTAACGAATCTTGGCTGTGCCTTTCCAAAAAGCTGTACTTTTCTCACCAGAGAGCTAATTTGTACTTTCAGGTTCCAGAGATCAGGGATGAAGAAGCATACAGTCCTGATAACAGCACTGCAGTATTAGACTGGAAGCCCTCACGACCAGTAAGTCGAAGCAGCTCAATTGCTTCAACAAGGAAATACATATCTGCTCTCACTCCCCAGGTAATCAGTTATTTAGGGGAAAAAGGGAAAAGAGTGATACACAGAAACTACTTTCTATATAGTTGCAATAGAGTGATTATTTTTATTTTCAGTCAGATACAGCCGAATGCACTCCAAAATACCCCAGTTCAGAGAAGGCTTACAAGATTGTTCTTGCTGGAGATGCAGCAGTGGGAAAATCCAGTTTCCTTATGAGACTTTGCAAGAATGAATTTCGAGGCAATACCAGTGCAACTCTGGGTATAGTTGTTGTTATTTTTAAAATATTTAAGTGAATTTCTTTGCTGTTTTGCAGAAGTGGGTGAAAAGATTCCATTTGTGGTTGATTGCTACAGTTACCTGCGTATACAGACACAGCTTCTTAGGCTAGGAGACCTAATTGAGTACTAAAGCTTAGCAGTGCCTAAGAGTTGTTTGTAGGTTTGTAGGGTACCAGCCTAATTCAGTTTTTCTTTACAAAGCCTGTTTCTGAACAACACAAAGCACTGGAAAAGAGAATTTCGGTATAAGGAAATTTTAGTGTTTATATGAACCTTTTTGCATATTTCATTGCTTTCCTGTTTTCTCAGCTCTTTCCTATTCCATTAGTATTTCATAACATCCTTTCATAATAATTGTTGTCTCAATTTCTTCAAAGTGTTACTGAAGCTGTGGTTTGAATACAGCTAGAGGGATTTCTGACTGACATCTTTTGTATACTATTGTAGCTGTCAACTAAAAAACTCATCGTAACAGTTCGGCAGACTAAATTTTTGTCTTCCGATTGATTCATAGTTATATATTTGTTTTATTACCTCTGAGTCAGGATTTTTTTCTCCAATTTATCTTTTTCCTCCTTGACGTTTGAAGTAAAGTCTGTTTTATAATTTTTTTTAATTTCTTTGATAAAACTGTTTAGCAAAAAAAAGAGATATTTTGTTCGCTGTTCAGGATGCAGTTTGTATCAATGTTTCTGGGAAAATGCTTGGGCAAAATGTTTTTTGAAATGCTTTTCTAAAGACAGATACATTAAGGGGATTACTGCAGTTTTAAAGCATGTGAACAACTGATATCTCATAACCTATTAAAAGAGATGAATTTTGAAATAACTGTTGTATATAGCATGTAACTTTTCATTTTCTGTGTTTTTTAAAAGATTATTGATGTTTTTTGTTAGACTATACACATGATTTTTTTCAGGTGTGGATTTTCAAATGAAAAGATTAATTGTTGATGGAGAACCTACAGTGCTGCAACTGTGGGATACGGCGGGGCAGGAGAGGTTAGTGATCCTTTGTACTTCTCTAATCTCAATTTTTTTGTTTGTAAAAGTAATTTGCCTTTTTTTGTCTGGATGAAAAAAAATCTGCTAATTGTATGGTCCTATAGCAAGTCAATATGGCCATATGTAAATGTCTATAAACAGATGTGATTTTTCTCTGCTGAGACTCCAAGACAGGTGGAAAGTTTTTTTGTTAGCTTTGGTGGTGCTTGAAGTAATCCTTTTTCTCCACAGAGGGAAGTAGTTAAGGTTCACCACAGGATTAATTAATTAAATCTATGTGTCCCTCTTTTGCAATGCAAAAAGATGGAGTAGATGCACAATTTTTTTCTACTTTTAGTCTTTAGCTTACTTTGTCCTTACACATTTGTATTTTTAAGCAGGCTTTTTCTTAGAGATTCCTTTCCCTTCACCCTCCTCTCCTTTCTTCTCCTCTTTGAAAAACCTGGTCCTGATTTGCATTGTATTTAGGATATGAAAACTTCTTCCCAAAAACTTTAGAATTTTGCCATAATCTCTTCACAGATTGCTGAATATATATCCAGGATTCTTCAAATTATTACATAAAGTTTCCGCAAAGTCCTATGTCATCTTTGCTTGAGAGCCATTACTTCTTTACCGACAGCCTTTGGGGCTTACTAAGAGGTTTATCTAGCACCTTGGAAGTCACTTTAATCTGTTCATTGACCAAAATTTCTGTTGGGCTGTATGTGCTTACTTTTACCTGAATGAGTGATTATGTGAAGTAGGGAGGTAGTGGCCCGGTCATTCTCCTTCCATAATAATATTTGTAATATTATTTGTAATAATATTTGTGAGGTAATAAATTTGTGAAGAATATTTTAATATCCAGTGTAATTACAAAATTGGTGTACTTGGTTAAGTACATTGTGTAAAGTTCAATGCAAAGATAGTTAATCCCTGTAATAATTTTGTTGGTTTCTTATCTTTTATCAAAGGAAGTAAAGTAACCCCCTCAATTTAGGAAGTAATATGTAAGTGAGTCATAGAACTATAGAACCATTAAGCTTGGAAAAGACCTCTAAGCATATTGAGTCCAGCTGTTAACTTAGTACTGCTGTGTTCACCACTGAACCATGTCCCCAGGAGCCACAATCACACATGCCTTTGTGAACACTTACAGGGATGGCGATTCTGCCACTTCCCTGGACAGCTCATTCCAATGCCAAACCATGTTTTCAGAAAGGACATTTAGTAAAGACAATCTAATCCTCCCCAGCACAACTCGAGAAAAGGTTATCTGTGATAGATACACTGTAGATTGTTTTGATATACAAAATATTGGTTGTTGTTTAGGACAGAATCCTCTTGATCCTTAAGGAACACTTGTACACCTGCATCAGCAGTTTTTAAGAACCACTTACAAAAGAAGCTATGAGAAAACTCATCCTGGAATGTGGAGAGAATTGTACTCAGTAGTGAAATTAAGAAACGCTCCTTTCTCAGTGATGTTAAATTTAATTATTTTTTGATAATATGGTCTTATGCAAATCTTTTTTTTTTCTAAAGATTCCGAAGTATTGCTAAATCATACTTCAGAAGAGCAGATGGTGTCTTACTACTATATGATGTAACATGTGAAAAAAGCTTTCTTAACGTGAGAGAATGGGTGGATATGATTGAGGTAATACCCTTAAGTATATACAGTTTATAAGCTGTGTTTCAGTGCATTGTTAAACTTACTATTTATAAAATTTTATTATCTGTAAATTGTAGTTAGCCAGACTGCAGGTTCTCATAGAAATAAAACCTGCATTGAAGTTCTAAATGTATCCTGACATATTCAGTTAACATGCAATATGATTCATCTTTGTGTAAAAGATTTTTGTAGAATCACACTCTTCCCATTCATTTCCTTTGGAAATGAACATGAGTGCCTATTTCAGTTACCTTCTTGTGGATGGCTTGAGTATTCCTTGGAGTCTTTGTGTTTTAAACCAATACTCTTGGTTTTTTATTTGAATGTGAATTTGCATTTAAAGCAAAAGGTTTTTGTGCTGAAGGTGTTTAATAGGAGGAAAGTGGCAAGCAAAATATTTAGTTTATCTTCTAAAAGCAATTTTTTAAAATTGTGGTATAGGAGTTGGTCACTTTTGCCACAGTGATTTTGTCATATAGCGTTTGGATGCAATAACTAATTCCGTTAGATTAACTACACACATTAAATTAATTGTTGGGAAGCAGGGCTTGTACGAAAGGGAAGCATGTCTTTGCAGGCTGATATTTAAGCTGACTGCTTACTTATTGAATGATTTATAAAAAGTTCTCAGCATAACTTTCATAATGAGTCAACTTTTTCTGATAGTGTACAAGACTTTTTGGGAAAGAAATGTGTGACGTGATGATGTTAGCTACTTTTTTGTATTTTGTGTGTTCTAGCAATAAGGAAATAAAATTCTCTTTACAGGATGCAACACACGAGAATATTCCAATTATGATGGTGGGAAACAAGGCAGATCTCCGTCAAGCTGTTACAGAACAAGGGCAGAAATGTGTGCCTGTAAACTATGGAGAAAAGCTGGCTATGGTAAGGTCAAAGTGTACCTCTTTAGTATAAAAGGGTCTTAGGAACTTTAATCTGAAAACCACAGAAGAATTTAGTAAGTAGAAGTAATTTTCTGGTCATTTGTCCAAGTTGAGTGATGAGTATTCATGGATATTTCTCATTAAAACTATCCTGTTTTGGTAGTGTTTGCTGGGTTAAATCACATCTCAGTGTCTAGTAAGCTGAATTTCATTATTGGCTGTGATAGTCTTCTCAGTCTTCTGTAAAAAAAAAAAAGTGGCTGGACTAGGAGACTAAGTTTTTCTGCTGCCGAAGAGAAGTTGCTGGTTCAAATATGAAGCACACTGTTAGTGAGGCCTTTCAACTGGCTTGTGTCTGTCCAGGTTTTAAGTGGAATGTTTTCATCTTCAAGAGACTAGCTTGTATTTCTGCCACATGTGCAGAAAGAAAAAAAGGAATTCTCTGCTATGAATAGAAGTGGGGACAGGGTTTTTTTGCATGTATTTATATGGGGGATAAGAGATGCACAAATCCTATATTTTGCAGAAAAATACAGAGAATATTAAGAGTCTTGAGTTTCTAAGTGCTTGCACAATTGTTTGATTGAACTGCAGCAGATACCGTATCTGTTACTTATGGAGTTATGTTTTTGGTTAACCTAGAATATCAGATGCTGTCGTTTGAGTAACTAACAAGCTAGATTAAGTAAACTGTCCTAGCAACTCTCTTCATATTTTGCAGTTTTGTGAACAAGAAGATTGAGTTTGGAGTTCAGAACTATGATATGGTTTTTATTCAGTTCATTAATTCAGACTATATTGAATATAAAACAGATATAATTAGAAAACAGTTACTGTTTTCTTTCACAGTACTAAAGTGAATATTTTGGAGAATTAAGAGCACCAGAAGAAATCCTGTTCATTTAAATGTGTGTCATCATTTTTTTGTGTCACTGAGGA